TGCTGTGCACAACCATTTTAAGCTGCCCTACCTTAAGAGAGCAAACTGAGCACGTATTAGCATGCTGAGGTTTTTTTTTTAAATATGTTATTCTTGAATATATTTATTGCAGAAAAATCAAGAAGAAATCCAGAGAGGAAAGCAGAAACTTAGGTGACTTCTTTGGTTAGAAGCTTGGTCTCAACACAAGTGCCAGTCCAACTTACTCTTATACTAAGAATAACGGCAATGGTCCAAGATCCAAGACAACCATCAGCTCTGCCAGTGATTCACCGTCTCGTTGCCCCCAGAGAGAGTGTTCTGATCACAAAAAACCTTTGTTATAAAGGCACTGAAATGCCTGCCTTAGACCTCTAAAAGATCCAGAACATGGATTTTTAAACATTTTCCTATCAGTTAAATATAGTACGACCAAACCAATAAACAAACCTCAGCATGTCAATACATTCTATTTTGAGGCACCAAGCTACTATTTGTGGAAGCGAACCCATCACATCAGCATCTCAGTTTTGCTTAACAATTAGCAGCCCAAAAAAAGACTCCCAGAACAGCATCTGCCCCAAACCTTTCATCCCTACCATATTTCAGTTTATAAAAACATTGAACAGGTGAGTCAATAACCAATTTCAGAGCCCACATGGGAAGGTCAGTAAAATAAGAGAGAGACAGACAAGAAATTCCAGCCTTATCCACTATATTGGAATGGATTATCCAGTTACAGATTGCTCTGAGTTTGTTTTGTGGGGGTGGGGTTTTTTTTTTCTTTGTTTGGGTTTTTTTTCTTTGTTTGGGTTTTTTGGGTTTTGTTTTTTTTTAGGGATTTTTTTTTGAGGGGGGGTTCCATGTTAAATTAATTTTAAAAAAATCAATTGGTAAAGCACGTTCTGTGTTAAACAGAACTTTATTTCTGGTCAAAATCGATAATGCAATCTGATTTATGGAAACCCTGTGTTATTGTGAGACTGTTACAATCCCATGGAACTCTTAAAATGCCAGTACATCAAGCAAACCAAGACAACCCATAAATTCCAGTATAAACTCCTAGTTACTCCTTATTTTACTTTATTTACATTTATGCGCTTATTTGTACCCAAAGTAAAGGTAAACTTCCAAGACACCCTTCCCACTTCCCCCATATTTACTCTTACAACAGGAAACATTTATTTCCTACTCTGTAATTTTACACATTAATTACAGAACCAATGCCATGGCATTGGAAGCAGCTTCATGACTAACTTGGAGATAACACACAACACTTCATTTATAAGTCTGGAAAAAGTGTCACACATTCTTAACTCAACTGGCTTAATAAAGGCAGAAAGAGCGACAGTTGTTGGGGGAAAAAAACCAAGTTTCATCCTCGCTTACCTTGCTCTGTTATATATCATTGCCTCGTTGTCATCCAGCACAGTGGACAGCATATCCAGATCACGAAACATTTTCAGCATGTAGTCTGTAAATTTTTGTCCTGCAGCTCTCTCCACAACAGCACTTAAGAGAGTAAAGCCATATGTTGAGTACAAGAACTGACTGCCTTGAAGAAACACAACGAGAAAGGGAAAAAACCCCATTAGTGGTGTGATGCTTAAATGGAATCACAGCTACATATAGGAATGAATAACCAATTAGCAGATTAACTCCCCACTCTCAGTTTAATATGATGTGAATCACAAGCTTATGACACTAAACCCCAGGAAATTCTGTACAAAGCCCCCACACAAACACTTTACTGGACTCCACCATCCTTAAAACAGATAAAACTATTTGAAACACATTATCTCCCCAGAAGAGCACACTCTGGTCTAAATTAATAGAAACTCACCTGGTTTAAAGAATAAAGGATCATTTTTAAATATCTTCAGTGAGTCAATCACACTTTCAAATTTTTCCTTCAAGTAATACTCTTCCTGCTCAAACTCCTTGTCCCTCCTGCCAGGCTTCGAGTTCCTAGTTCTCGTCTCACCGTCCTGTTCCTTCCTTGGTTTGGCAGAATCAGGTTTTTCAGTCCCTTTGCCTTCTCTTTGTTCTTTATCCTGGTGGGGTTTGGTCGGCCTCAGTGCTCTGTTTGCCTTTTCCTTCTCTTCTTTCACTTTCGCGATGTCTTTTTCGTAGTGACGGATCCCACTCAGGTGTGAAACCAACAGTCTGGTCGTAATAGTGACCTGGGACACAGGATAACATGAGCTCCCTTCACTAAAACACATGCCCCAAAATCACCCAACAAGGTAAATTCACCACGACAAGGAACAGGCGAGACCTTTTAAATATCTGTATTAAACCCGGTAAAAATATATACATATACACTTGATATAAAACCACAGGCCTGAATTTTCAGCACTGCTTTTCTGAGCAGCAACATCAGCACTTGTCTAAATGATTTTTAGTGCTTTACAGGAATAGGTCCAGATGCAGGCACCTGTACACAGACAGCTATGCAGTGACAGGAACAGAAATTAAAAAAAAAAAAAACAAACCACTTAATTAATTGTTACCGATAAACAATTACATACCTTTTCGCCCTCGTAGACTTTCTCTGGAAATTCAGGGACGTATTTCTGCACTGGAGCATCTAAATCCAGTTTCCCCTCTTCCCACAGTTTAGCCACAGCCATCATGGTGAGACACTTGCTAATGCTGGCGATTCTCATGATGGTCTCTGGCTTACACAGGACACGGTTCTCCACGTCAGCATAGCCCAGACCTTTGGGAAAACACAACATTCTGGTATGTGCATTGCACAGACACAGGCTGAATTAATTATTTGCAGTGATTTACTGGCCCCTTCAGTGTTTTTCCTCCAGCTAAACTGGGATGGGAAGCATTGGACTATGGCAGCTCCTGCTTCAATCAAGTTAATAACTTTTTATTGTAGTAGACTTTTTTCTTCACATTCTATAAAAGATAAAATGAAATATGTTGCCATTTACTGCTATCATTTAAGTTGTAACCAACATATTGGGTTTTTGAAACTCATGAAAATGTTTCTGAAAACAGAGGGTTTTTTTACATCAAATGTCTATGCAATAAGAGCAGTACTAACAGACTCTGCTTAAACCTAAACTGTGTAATCAGAACAATCACTTGCAATTTCTGAAAGGATGACGCCTGTTAAATCCTTCCTAGGAAAAATCTGCATCTCAGCCCACAGGTCACCAAATGTGAACCATTTTTATTTTGACTTTTAAGTCCCTGTGGGGAGAACATTTCTTTACCTCCTACATACAGTTCTACCAGACAAATTATCTATTGATTGGAGTGTCTGAATTGTTAATTTTTAAAATGTTCATCAGCTCTCCACAACAGGCACAACTACTCCCCCCATACACTGACCTTCTGACCAGACTTCCTTTCCATCCACAGAAACTCCAACGATTATACCTGGGATTCCTGCTTCATCCTGTCAAAAAACACCAGACAGAGCGCATTTAAAACTGCTTTTGCAATGCTGTCATTTTTATCCAGCCTCTGGGAAAAACATACAACAGTAACCACATAAATAATTTCTTTAATAACTCAACCCAGTTAGGGAACAGGACATGTAAGATGAACTGAACAGAAACAAAACATGACAGAGCTAATATGCAACAGGCAAACTGCATCACCTATCGGCAAGCAGGACTTCAAAGAAGCTTCAACTGGATTTTTAAAGTAACCACAATGTACTTTTTAAACACAATCCCAGAATGTGCTGAGCTGGAAGGGACCCACAAGGATCATCCCATCCAACCCTCAGCCCTGCACAGGCCCATCCCCAGCGACTGTCCCACCCTGTATCCCAGAGGATCATCCAGACCCTCCTGGAGCTCTGGCAGCCTTGGGGCTGTGCCCACTGCCCTGGGGAGCCTGGGCAGTGCCCAAACACCCTCTGGGGGAAGAACCTTTCCCTGAGATCCACCCTGAGCCTGCCCTGACACAGCTCCAGCCATTCCCTGGGGGCTGTCCCTGCTCCCCCCAGAGCAGAGCTCAGTCCTGCCCCTCCTCTGACTGCAGTGAGGTCTCCCCTCAGTCTCCTGCACCTGAACAGCCCCAGTGCCCTCACACGGCTCTTGCCTGTCCTCCCCTCAGCCTTTAGGGCCGCCCCCGCTCGCAGTGCCCCACACTGTGCCACAGCCCACAGCCCCGCATGGACCCGGCCTGAGCAGCACCAGCCCGGGCAGCGCTCCCCTCACACCTTGACCCTCCGCAGCAGGTCCCTGCTCCGCTCCACGGCCGCGCCGAAGCCCCGCGGGGGCGGCGGCTCCTCCTCCCGCCTTCCGTCCGCCTCGCCCCGGACCCCCACGGCCAGCCCCAGCGCCAGCCCCCAGCCCCACGGCCGGGCCCTGGGGACCTGCCCGGGCCGCGCCGCCGCCCGGCACAGCGACCGGCACAGCACGGCCCGGCCCGGCAGTGTCCGGCTCGGCAGAGCCCGGCTCAGGGCCCGGCTCAGGGCCCGGCACAGCCCCGCCATGGCCGGGCCGGACACGGCACCGCCCGGGCACAGGCACCGCCAGCCGCGCCAGAGCGCATCGAGCGCCGCGCCTGAGGGAGAGCGCGGAGACACCGGCACGGCTGAGCGGGGCAGGTACGGGGGAGGAACAGGGGTTATACACCGGCTGGACACGGGTTATACACGGAATCAAAGATCCCTTAAGTCGCAAAAGCCCACCAGGCTCTCCGAGTCCCCCCTGTGCCCCATCCCCACCTTGTCCCCAGCCCAGAGCACTGAGTGCCACGGCCAAGCCTGCCTTGGACACCTCCAGGGCTGGGCACTCCAAACCTCCCTGGGCAGCCCCTGCCAAGGCCTGACCACCCTTGCCAGCAACAAATTCCTGCTGATGTCCAACCTGACTGTCCCCTGGCACAGCCTGAGGCCGTTCCCTCTCCTCCTGTCCCTGTTCCCTGGGAGCAGAGCCC